GCACCTGTAGCCCATTTCCTGCACACGCCTGTGCACGGTGGCTCTGGATGTTTCTACTCCAGACTCAGTCCACTGCTTCCGCAGGTCCCCCAAGGTCTGGAATCGGCCCTTCTCCACAATCCTCCTCAGGGTCCGGTCACCTCTTCTCGTTGTGCAGCGTTTTCTGCCACACCTTTCCCTTCCCCCAGACTTCCCACTGAGGTGCCTTGATACAGCACTCTGGGAACAGCCTGTTCGTTCAGCAATTTCTTTCTGTGTCTTACCCTCTTGCTTGAGGGTGTCAATGATGGCCTTCTGGACAGCAGTCAGGTCGGCAGTCTTACCCATGATTGCGGTTTTGAGTAATGAACAAGGCTGGGAGTTTTTAAAAGCCTCAGGAATCTTTTGCAGGTGTTTAGAGTTACGTCGTTGATTCAGATGGTTAGGTTAATAGCTTGTTTAGAGAACCTTTTCATGATATGCTAATTTTTTGAGACAGGCATTTTGGGTTTTCATGAGCTGTATGCCATAATCATCAGTATTAAAACAATTAAAGACCTGAAGTATTTCAGTTGGTGTGCAATGAATCTGAAATATATGAAAGTTTCATTTTTATCATTACATTATGGAAAATAATGACCTTTATCACAATATGCTAATTTTTTGAGAAGGACCTGTATAAGGAGTGACAGGTTGAGCTAAAGAAATCAAAGTCCGATTAAGGACCACAACGAGCAGAGTGGCTCCAACACAAAGACCTGTTACGATCTCGCCCACAGAGCAGGGAAACAAGTCAGTGGCAAATCACCTACACCTGGAAGAACCACAATTTGCTTTTCTTAGGATATTAAAATGGCTGCCGAAATAGGATTTATTTTCAGTCATTTTCTGTGCAGTGGTTCCCAACCCTGGTCCCTGAGGAACACCACCTTGCATGTTTTAGTTGTTTCCCTGCTCCAACACACCTGATTCAGTGATTTAATTACTTGCTCATGTTCTGCAGAAGACTGCAATTACCCATCAATTAAAACCAGGTGTGTCGGAGCAGAGAAACTAAAACATGCAAGATGGTGTTCCTCAAGGACCAGGGTTGGGACCCCTGGATTAGTGGCCTATTTTCATAACAGAGCAACGGCAACATTAAAGTATTCAAAAGTCACTATCCCATAGCCAGGAAAAACTCAGGTTTATTAAACCCATTTCCAATGACTATTAATTAATAAATTAACTCGCCATGTGAGAACTTTGATAACAGTTACTGTTTTAAATGTGCTATATAAATAAATGCGACTTGACTTAGTGATGCCAGTTGGTAGACTGTGTTACTCTTTCAAAAACAAATTACATACTACAACTGAGTTTACGCCAAAGAGCTGCTACTGAACTGTAGGATTCAGCCAGTAAGTTTTTAAAGAAGCATCATGGACAACAGGACGACAATCATTAAGATATAAAAGGTATTTTAGTTCACAATAAAAACATTTAAAGAACTTAATATGCTGGTGTAGATTCTCAGTCATCCAAGACATGGTAAATACAAGAAAATAATTCAAAAAAAGTTAAAGTTTTAAAGTTGATGTGACATTACATCAACTGTAAAACTCAAACTCCACACTCTTGTTTTTCCAATTGAGCTCCTCGGATGAGAAGCGAAAACGTCTTCAACTACAGAAGTCCAGTTTTTGTTTTTAACCTTTTAAAACACATTTAAATTTAAAGAAATGCCTCAAATTTGACTCGGTCCTGCCCTGAATGGAGCTGAATCTGAGGTGCTGCTCATACCTGGCAGTACATTCTGGCCTCAGTCCAGTTGCGATTCTCGTCCACTTTGAAGTACTGATGCTCTGCAGCTGCGTTCATCACCACCAGAGCTGAAAACAGACAAGTCGGTTCGTTTCAGCAAGAAATCCACCAGGAAACAAAGTCATTTGCCTCGATTCAATTTAATTTTTAAACATTTACACAAGTCTTGGAGAAAAAAAAATATACTGGTACATAATTTACATCGACTAAAGAATTAAAGAACTGCCATTCTCTACTTCTATTCATACAGAAAGAAAAATACAATTAAAACGTTTAATACATTTCTTGCTGTTCTACCTAAAGCTTCCTTAAAAAAAAAGTTAAGTAAAAAAATGACTCGAGATCAAATATTCAGACAAAATGGTGTTAAAAAAAAATCTATCATTAAAACACAAACTATAAAAAAAGTCCAGGCTAATCACCAAAACCATCAACTTTTTTTTTTTTTTAAAGATGCTACAAAAAGAAAGAAACTCACCCAAACTAATGAAAACGCAAAGTTTTTCCTTGACCAGTGATGTTTCCATGATGGTGTCCAGTTTCTGGACGGCCTGAGATTTTCCAAAAGAGAGGTGTCGTTAGATTATTAAAATAAGCTAAACAATGCAACTAATTGAACAAAAGCATCTGTATACAGGTTAAAATGTTTGTCTCGTTACTCACCCCGGAGTCAGCAGCTCTGTCTGAACAGAATGTGACGACGTAACCCCAACCCAACGGTAATAAACAAAACGCCGTCCGACGAGCACAAGGCTCCGTTCTGTCAGATGCAGCTGGATTTGCATCCGTAGCCCCAAACATGCAAATCGCTCATATTTGTGCAAGTTAACAGAACACGAGAAGCCACTGAGCTACAAAGAGTTTATTTTGTTTTAAAGCTTGAACGTAAAAAAAAAGGAATTAAACAAGTAAAAGAACAAATGTAGAAGATTTTACAAAAAACATATCAAAATATAAAAAAAACAGAAATTAAACAAAGAAATGCCTTTATATGCATTTATTTTGGCAGTGTTTTATTTAGTGGTTTCTAACTCAAACGGTGATTGGTCACGCCGAACCAAAGCTGTCGACGAACTGAACTCCGAGGAAAACCAAACATTTCAGATGGATTTTGAGCGTTAACGACGAATCTGAGCAATTTAACTAAAAATAACTCCAGAAAGGTGAAACGACAGCGTTTCTGTCCACCAGCGTTTGTCAAATTATTCTCGTCAGGGTTTCAAACTATCGTCTGTTCTCAGCAGTTATTGCCCGGTGTAGAAAAACATTTATAATTGAGGGATGAACCAGCCAGTCCCTCAGCTACAAAATCTACTTTTAAAAGAAAAACAACTAAATAGGATTCCAATTCCTATATCACGTAAAACGAGCTCCGGTGATCCTTGATTAGAAAAAAATTATCCATTTACAGCTTCGTGAACACACAGTAGATCCGTTTCGCTGAATAACACACCTGATTTCAGCTGGACTGGAAACAATCGGCTGCTAAAGCGGGCCGAAGCTGTCGGATCGACAAAAAGGACCGGGGTCGTCTCAGACAAACGGCAGTGAGTCGTTCAGAGAAGGCAGCGTTTTGGCTTTCACAGGCAACTCAAAGGCTTCAACATGAACAGCTTCAGAGAACTACTTTTCTAAATACAAAAAGAGATTATAAAAAGAAGAAATCTTAAACTTTTGTTCCCGACATGAATAAAGACCGTAACAAAGATTTCACAACACTTTTAGTCACTGTCACTTTGGTTTTTCTTCTGGAAATTCTTCCCTTGATTCAGCCGTTTTCTGGTGGAGGGGAAAACAAAAAAATATATTGTTTAGAACATTTTTAGATTTGAACAGATTATAAAGTCAATGGTTCCCAACCCTGGTCCTTGAGGAACACCATCCTGCATGTTTTAGTTGTTTCCCTGCTCCAACACACCTGTTCCAGTGATTTAATTGCTTGCCCGTGTTTTGCAAAAGCCTGTTAATCAGCCATTAATTAAAATCCGATGTGTCGGAGCAGAGAAACAACTAAAACATGCAGGATGGTGTTCCTCAAGGACCAGGGTTGGGAACCCCTGGAAAGCACACAATCAACTGTCACACTGGTGAATATTTCCACGGTTTTTAACCAAAATAAAATTATTTTCCTAACCCCTGGAATAAGTCTGCTTCAACCAAGGAAGGGGAAACTTTAACAATGTATTCCTGTAGGTAAAATACTTCCATACTCTACAACGAAGCAGCAGTAAACTTCAATTTAAGGTGCTGGCAGTTGTCGACCGGGGGGTGGGCCATCTTAAAATGATGAAACTTGTGCTCTGCATTTGACCCATCACGAGATACACCCATGTGAAGCAGGAGGCAGCCATTTGACGATCAGAGCGCAGTCGTCTTGCTCAAGAGCACTACAATGCATGTGCATGGTGCAATTGTGACTTTCCGGTTCCCATGTCGGCTGAACAGAAGCTAATACTTGTACTTGTGTTTGTTTCCTCCCTAGATGGCATTATTCTGTCCTCCAGCTCTAAAGTTAAAAATCTTGGTGTTATTTTTGATCAGGACATGTCTTTTATCCCCCACATTAAAAACGTTACTAGAACCGCCTTCTTCCACCTGCGCAATATCGTTAAAATTAGAAACATCTGGTCTAAAAATGATGCAGAAAAACTGGTTCATGCATTTGTCACGTCTAGACTGGACTATTGCAATGGTTTTTTATCTGGGTGTCCAACTATTTCTTTAAAAAGTCTTCAGTTGATCCAAAATGCTGCTGCCAGAATCTTAACTGGAGTTAGTAGGAGAGATCATATTTCTCCAGTTTGAGCTTCTCCCCATTGGCTCCCTGTCAAGTCCAGAATCTAATTCAATATCTTACTTCTAACCTACAAAGCCCTCAACAACCTAGCTCCATCTTATATTACAGATCTTATTGTTCCATATTTTTCTAACAGAGCACTTCGCTCTCACACTGCAGGTTTACTTGTGGTTCCTAGAGTTTCCAAAAGCAGAATGGGAGGAAGATCTTTCAGTTATCAGGCTCCTCTCTTGTGGAACCAACTTCCAGTTTCTGTCCATGAGGCTGACACATTAAGTTTTAAGACTGGGCTGAAGACTTCCCTTTATGATAAATCCTATAGTTAGGGTTAGATTGTTATGCTGCTATAGGCTAAAGACTACTGGAGGACAAACTGACCTCATGTCCTTAAATGAACTGCTAAAATAGAGTAGTTTTAATTTGATACTATTGATACTATGATACTATACTATCATCTTAACATGTGATTCTGGTTCTGCCATTGTGTATCTGTTCCTACCAAACCCATCCGGTCGAAGCAGACGACCGCTTGTCCTGAGCCTGGTTCTGCTAAAGGTTCTGTGACCAACAGGGGGGGTGTGGTAGTTGTTTATAAATAGTTCTGAATATAAAACTCAACAACGCCAGTTGGGGGATGTCATTACCCAACGATTTAAAACGCCACAGGTTCGTAAAAGATACACCTCGACACAGACCGATTTCTATTAAAATATTTTATAATTTATTAAAACGTCATTTAAAAAAAACAGCTTTCAGGCTCAGTCCCTGAGGACAAAGGGAGCATGAGGTAAGCTGATTTTTGGTTGATCCACTTACAATAATAAATTCAACATACTACAGATGGAACAAACTGTTAATGTCCAGTCTCACACATTACAACAGGGCAGAGGAGACGTGCGCCGTCATGTTGACTGGCTGCAACAAATGCAGTGGAGGAGCAGCCCAAACTCTGAAGAGTGTCCCAACACAGGACAAGACAAGACAGCAGAGCGTCCTTGTGCACTGGGCCATTTAAGCACAGCAGTGCGCAGCTCAGTGACGTGCCGAGGAGCAGGAGCGCAGTCTACCAGGGGAATGAGCGGCTCGGCAGCAGGTCAGAAGAAGGCAGAAGCTGTGCACTGCAAAGGGCTCCAGGTGCAGCCACTAACGCCAGTGGAGCAGCAATGGATCTCAGATGACCAGAATCCAAGAGCACCAGTCGCACAAACAGCCGACGTGCTGCAGGAGGAACAAAGACGCACCTTGTAGCAGCAATCTGCCCAACTTTAAAGGCATCTGTCACTCCCATCAATCAGTGGTGAGATCTGATTAACAGCTGGTGCACAGAGTGGGGAGGGCGGAACACCATCTCACCACAGTTTCTTCTTCATGAGGGAGTTTTTCCTTTCCACTGTCGCCTTCATGCTAGCTCCAAGATGAGTCTGTGATGGAGTTAAACTCAAAGCAGTCTGCTCCTCAGACGGTGTTAAATTATCATTTTTATACATGAATGTTTCTGTTCAGTGCCCTGAGACGACTTCTGTTGCGACTTGGTGCTTTATAAATAAACTGAATTGTGTACGGTATAAATGGTGGACTGTAGGGAACCCAAAACACGCCTGAAGAACTCAAGACTCCCAGGAGTCTCCCGGTGTGAACAGAGAACAAACATGCCGTCTTTAGTACTGTGGAAGGAACTCCCGAGGCGACCCACGTGTCCAAGGAGGTGGGGGAGAGTCATCCAACTCCACAGAAAACAGGTCAAACCAGAATTCAAACCTGCAACCTTGTTGCTGGAAAGAACCAGCGCTGACCAGCTAAAATTTCCTCCCTTGCACACTCGAGAATCAACTTCTTTGCATGTGTTGACCTGTTTACTCAGAGAAGCCGATGTTTGTGTTCTGGTTTCGTTTAGCGTAGCTTCATTAAACGTTCCTCACCTGTCATCGAACATCTCGAGGCCAGAGTTGATTTTCTTCAGCATCTCGTAACGCTCGCGTCCTTGAACCTGCAGAAGACATCCATGCCATGTGAACGGGCCGAGCACCGACTCCATCCATCTGTGTAAGCAAAGAGAGAAATACTCACACGCAGGGTGAAGATCTCCTTGTCCTCCTCCTCTCCACTTGATCCAGACTTCTTCTTCACGTTAGTGGTCAAAGAGGATGGGCCCGGCATGGGGTCGTTCTCTGAGAAAACGAGTCGGCAAATGAAATTAAAAAATAAAAAACTGGAACAGTTTATGTGGAAAAACAGAAACCATACTTCGTTTCTTTGTTTGTTTGGCACCGCTTTGCGTCTTGGCTGCGTTTTCCTCTTCGGTCTTGCGGTCCCGGCCTGGACACGCACAGACACGGACTTCGAAGCACCTCCGGCCCAAAACGCAACCACTGGAGCGGAAAACGAACCACCGAACAAACTCGTTAAACGATTAATGTTCTTAAAGCGTCACTAAGCGGTTTGTTTCTCTGCCACACGTCAGGACGTCAGCAGACTTACTCCGGGGCCTCCAGAGTCAGGATGGTGAGGATGGGGCGACGGTTCATGCCCCCCATGCAGGAGCTGTTGCACATAAAGCTCAGCAGTATGGTGGTCGTTTTTGAGCCCAACTGAAACAGGAAGTGAGGGAATATTGTTCAAAGTCTGTGATACAGAAAACAAAACCACTCGTGTGATCTCATGATACAGTTAATATACCGTATTTTCCGCCGCGCATGTCGCTCCGCCCTATAAGTTGCATCAGTCCAACTATGTCTAATAAAGTGGAAAAAAAAGTCGCTTTGTCGTATAAGTCGCATCTATTACACGTCACCACTGACCACCCGGAAACGTGGGCCGTTGTGCCAAAAATCGATTGGCTGCCAAATGGCGGCCACGGGAGCGTACACGGGACTTTAAGAAGAAGTTAAAAAGATTAACACTTAAAAACAATTATTTGCTTATTTGCAGCAAAGCTGTGTCTCAGTCTAAGTTTTCATTAATAAATGCACTTTTGACGGTCAAATCAAGTGTAGTTCAAAACCCGATTTGCGGAAGCTGCCACGCGCAGAGAGACGAGTCGCTGTGCATTTCTTTGAAATTTAACAAGATAACCACATAAAAACAATTATTTGTTTGCTCAACATTATAATAAAAGGTGCGTCTCAGTTGAACTTTTACTTAATAAATGCACTTTAATGGTCAAATAAGCTGCATTTCGCAGGGGCGGCGCGGTGAAATGAAGCTGATTTCACGGTTGCTCCAAGCGAGCTGGACAAAGGTGGCAGGCTATGGCAAGCCGATTGTGTCATTAATAGCCTCTTTTACCTATTACAAGACATAACGGCATGCTATACCACTCGAGTGCCATCTAGCGGCTGAAAATGGTAGTGTTCAATATTTTCAGTCAATGAATGAGAACGGTCATATCTCAGCCAAAAATAGGTTTATAAATATGGGAAAAATCCATAAATACGTTGCTCAGCGTGTAAGTTGCAGGGTATGTAAACTATGCAAAAAAACAAACAAAAAAAAACGAGACATAGGGCGAAAAATACAGTAATCTGTGTTCAAGACATTTTACTTCATCTTAAAAATTTTACTGTCCCCAACATAAAAAAAAAAATGCATCAGCTTTATTTATTTTTTCTTTTTTTTTAATCCCTTTAGCCTTTTTCATTAACGCCACACAAACTGGAATTTTTTCTAGATTTGTCCAAGAGTTCAAATAAAGTATTACACATTTGTTGCATTTCTTGTGCCCTACATTCAGAAAATTATTCTCCAGGTTACACACAAAAAAAAAACAACTAAAGTGAACAGAAACTTACACTGCAAATAGTTCAACAAACTAGAAACTCATACCTGCGGGGGCTCGTAAGGCACAGTCACACTTTGCCTATTTGTGTTTGGATCCTCAAAGTACTGAGCCAGCTGGTTGCCCTCCAGTCGGACCAGATGGCTCCGGTTCTCTGAAGCTGGAAATGGATCAAGCGTTTTAATCGGTCTACTCTAGATGGTTTAAAAACTTTAGGAAGAAAAGTTCTCCTTACCGTCTTCGGTTTGGTGGTGTGGGCATCTTTTGACGACTTCTGCCACGTGCTCAGACTTCTTATACACTGCGGTGGCCCTGAGAATGGCCCCCGGGGGGGGCTCGATGCTGACTAGAACCTCGATGGGAGTCGTCTTGGCCAGCTGACAGTAGAGCTTCTTCAAACTCTCTGAAAACTGTAAGGAAAGGAAGAGAAGCAGAGATGTTCCCATCAGTTCTTAATGGAGCACCACACGTCAAATAACCAAAAGCAAGAAAATTAAAAAATTAACTTCGATGTAAAACAGTTCAACTTCCCTAAACTCTGAGGACTAAAGCTTAGAGACTACAGCGCTGACGAGGCCAAGTCAAGCTGATCAGTTTTAACCCTTTCTGTTCTGAGGGACGTCTGTGCAGGAACATGTCCTGTCATGTCGCTGCTGTGCTTCGCAACCAAACTGCAGCTCTCCCCTCACAGACCTCAGCAGCAGTCGTAGGAGGCGACCACCCAAACCCTCGACTGAACCGGCCAATCGTATCGCTCTGGTGTGGAGACTTTAACAGCATTGGCTCTTTGAGCGCAGCGACCGCCTCTAAGCCTTAAAATTTAGCAAATGGCCACAATGAACGAGTCCACACGAATGCCACGAGACAAGATATGAAAGAATGGAGTTGAACGCGTTGTCCAGGTAAGGTTTATTTGCGATCAAAGTCAAAAAGGCTTTGTATTCTGAATTTAGATGGATAATATTTAACTTCACTACAGAAAAAGCTTTTCATTCTCCAACTCTAAAGAGTTTTAATTATCAATGAATGTGGTTATTTTAGTACAACAGACGAAAATAGATCAAAATAATAAAAACTAAACGGCGATAGGAAGAAATGACACTTGGAGCTGAAGAGTTGCTCAGAAGAAGCACTTCTGCTCCTCATCAGTGCGGGGCAACAAAATGACAAAAGTGTTTTAAATTCTAGTAAACTATTACTTTGTGGCAAAGTGTTTAAATTCAGTCGAAATACAACTGAACACATTGTAAAGTGCTCTGGAGAAAAGTAAATTTAGGTTTTTATCACATAGATCAGCAGAAAAGAAAAAAAACACAAGTAGTCCTAAACACATTAAGTAAAGCAATATGATGAAGTTGGTCGTACTGTTGAAGTGACCGACTTGGCCATCCCAGACTTCTGAAACTGAAGCTCCAAGAAGTAGTCGCCTGGATAGTCAGTCGTAACCGGAACGGTGGAGGACGGTGGATTAACCAAGTCGGTCATCATCCCATTGGAATTTGCAGAATCCAGCATGAGGAAGTCAAACGTGGTCAAGTTTGAATCCTTCAAGAGGCATTAAAAGGACAGATAAAAGAATCACCACACTGAATACAGAGGAAACTTTCAGCTCAAAGCTTAGACTTGAATCGTTACCAGAAAATGTAATTGGTCCTGTTGCACCCAATCATTACGCAAATGGTTTTCAGGAGGAATAGTGGAAATGTCAGAAGTTTGGTGCAAATTCAGATCTTTCAGATCCTTCACTTCGCTTTTGGTAGTTATTCTGTTAAAAAAAAACAAAAAAAAAAACACGTCAATTTATTTCCATAGAGCAAACTCGTGTCTTTAAAACATTATGTGGCATTAAGTTGATACTCACAGATCCCCCCACAGCTCTCTGAACGTGTCGACTGAGTCTTGACTCTGCGGCAGGCTCTCCATTTTAAAACTGGGCTCTTCCATATATTTTTTTAACCTTTCGTCGAGTGAGAGAAACATAAGGAAGAGCACAGACTGCTGTGGGACATAAACAGGAAGTGACAAACTGAGTCCGTGAACAAAACAGTATTTTAATTAATTACTTTTAGGACTGAACGGTTAAAACAAGCTTTTCTTTAAAAATAAACAGTATAAAAATCTCTACAGGCATTTCTTAATTTATATATGTTAATGAGTCACTTCTGTTCTGATATAAACACTAATGCATTTGAAATAAAAAGTATCTTTTGGTGGAATAAAAAGGAGAAATTCTGTTTAAAATTATGGTTAATTATACTTTTTTTTGCACAGTAAAGGATGCACACAGTAAAACCAAAACATACAGGCTTATCTCACATTTAAGTAGTCTGAAAAAAAGTTTTAAATTAATATTTTTAGTCTCACTTTTCTATATAGTTTTAAATTAAACCTAAAACAACACACGGCCCCAGTACAATAATACGCTTTTATTCATTTTCTACAAACCGGATGTTAGCATAACTTCAATGAAGCTAGCATTCGTTGTAAATCGAGCCAACAATATTAGAAAATGTTGAAAAGGAAAACCTAAATTGAAATAACAACATTGTTAGGAGTGAAAACTACCGATTGTCAAAGAATTGAACCCGCATAAATTATCGAGCGCGTTTTTTGTTTCGCGTTTTATCGCAGAAGCCGAGTTAGCACAACCGGCTAACAACCGATGTAGCGAAGTTTCGAACAACACAGAGAAAAATGACCTAAAGTTTAAGAGTAACTTTAACAAGAGGCACGTTTCAGCCTGCGATGCTGTTTTTACTGCTCTGCTGCTCATGTCAGAAGATGACTCACGAGAATTTGATGTCAAAGACAGCTAAAACCGTCGAGGAAACCAAAATATTATGATGAGTTAACCCGAGCACGCTGTCGGGGATTCCCAGTTCCCACACAAAAAAGGAGGGGGATGGAGCAATATTTATATTCCCGTGCTGACCAATCAGAGAGCAGCATGATCTGGAGTTGTCCAATGGCTGACTGCGCATTCACTGACGCTAAAAACGCACCATTTACTTTAGCTGGTTGAGAAAGCGGGTTGATTGAGGCGGGATTGGTACTGAAATCATTCGGTATTGAATACAGAGGCCAGTGCGGCGTACGATCTTCGACTTCGGACTAGCAGGTTCCAAACGTAATGAATATCGTTAGTGGATTTGTTGAATAACATGAAGCACAGACTCTGCGTAATGTAATTAAAGATGTCCCAGCAAAACGCATTATCTTCGTTGAATATGAAAACTTTTTTGCCGCTCATCTTCATTTGTAGCCGGATCAAACCCCGGCTAACAGAAAAGGACCACGCAAATTTCTACTTTCCTACAACCCTACAACAATAGAAAAGTTTTGTTTTTCACAATTTCTAAAGGAATTTAAACACGAAATGTTACACTAAATGATCCAGTCTTTCATGGTCCCTCACAATTATGATGATAATGATGATTATTATTTTACTTTAAACATTTTTTTGACAGAGAGTACTTGGAAACCATCATATCAGAGAGTCAGAGTCAGAGTTTCTTTATTGTCATTCGCACCTCATGTGGT